TGAGGCGAATGCTGCAGATATGCTTAATTAGTGGTGTTCTTTTGATACTGCTTTGTGAATGGGCGACACATGCTCAGCACCATATTGGCATTGACGTTGTTGTCGGGGTGATGGTTGTGGTTGTCGTTGTCGCTGTCGCGGCATTGACATTGTTGTCGTTGTCGTCGTCGTCGTTGTTGCTGCAGTTGTTGCTGCTGCTGCTGCTGTTGCTGCTGTTGCTGCTGTTGCTGCTGTTGCTGCTGTTGCTGTTGCTGTTGCTGTTGCTGCTGTTGCTGTTGCTGCTGTTGCTGTTGCTGTTGCCGGTGCTGGTGCTGGTGCTGCTGTTGCCGTTGCCGGTGCTGGTGCTGGTGCTGGTGGTGGTGGTGGTGGTTGTGGTTGTGGTTGTGGCTATGGTTGTGGTTGTGTTGGTGATTGTGGTGGTTGCGGTGGTGGTTGTGGTGGTGGTTGCGGCGGTGGTTGCGGTGATGATTGTGGTGGTGATTGTGGTGGTGGTAGTTGTGGTTGTGGTTTTGGTTTGTGGTTGGGGTCGGGGTTGGGGTTGGGGTTGTGGTGGTGGTTGCGGTTGTGGTTGTGGTCGTGTTTGTGGTTGTTGTGGTGGCGGTTGTGGTTGGGGCTGTGGTTGTGATTGTTGGTGTCGTTCTTGTTATCGTTCTCGTTAGTGTTCTTAGTTCTTGTTCTTCTTCTTCTTCTTGTTTTATTGCTCTTCTTCTTGTTCTTGTGTTTTGCTCCGTATTCTTCTTGCTGTTATTACTCCAAGCATTTGATCCCTACATGCCTTGAAGATGCAACGGCAACAGATCGCAACAGGCACTGGGCGGAGACGAGGGTGCCGGTGCTTTTCACTGCCTACCGGGTGCCCGGAGGCAATAGCCTAAGCAGGAGTTCGGGGCTGCAAGGGGGGGCTGTGATGCTTCCGGCAAAGGGGCGCTGTTTGCCAGGCCTTAATTACTGTTGCTAGACCTTGAAGCCTAAATCTGGCGACGGACACCGGAAGAAGTCACTGTGACGATTAATCAACCACACACGGAAGCTTCACAACTCAAACCAAGGTTCCCTATGGGACAGACAAATGGAAGAACACTGAACGAGCCCACAATGGAAAGCAACACTTGCAATACATAACCCACTGAAGCCCGCTCAACTCCTAATGGCACCGTCACGTCCTTTAAAAGATCCACAACAGAAGCTCTGGTTCGAGTTGTCGAACGACGCTCTGATGCCGTGGGGTCGTTCTGAGGTCTCGGCGAAACGCCGCAGACAGCTCGGGACCTACTGGGTTTCGCAAGCTCCCGAAGCTTCCTGGGCTCACGAAGCTTCGCCCCGAGGTGCAAAGCTTCCTTGAGACGCTTCTGGGTACCGGAGGAGGTGCCGGTTTATGGGTCATCGAGGCGCCGAACGGGAGTTAGAGGATGTTTCGTGTGGACGACATCCTGAGCCCTCCTAAACCTGAAATGGCATGCTACAAGACCTTCGACAACTTATTGTCGCAGCCAAACTGTTTCGGGTGATGCCGACAACGAGGGGCTCGACAACAACCACCAAGAGAGTACTGACGGTGTCAAACAAGGAGGGAATCGTCGCAAAGGTTGTCTCTATCCATGACGATAATGGGGTTCATCGCAACTCAGGGCCAGAGTCTAGAGTGAGCAGCCACAGCTGCAATCTTGGGCGCAGTCACAATCAGAAAGACTGCCTGGGCAAATGACCACCTCCTCTCCTGTTTCCCGCACCTTGCAGGCCTGAGGTGACTCCAGAAAACCTTGGCCCAGCCTTGCTCCAGGAGGAGAATCCTCATTGCATCGAAGACGGCGCTTTCAATGCCGGTGCGGCAGCAAGTTTGGCAGAGTCTGCGGTGATTTAGGATTCGCGGCCGCCAATAATGGGTGCGGGTGTGGGGGGCTGAGCATTTGAATTTGCAAGGCAGTGGTTCCTCAGTTCAAAATCTGGAACAGATATGCGGGAGTCATAGTTCCTGCTTCTCTGTGTTTCCGGCTCGAGCGAATCTGGGCGGTTGAACTCGTGATTAGCAAGCCGGCCTGCTTACAGTGTGCATGAGATGAAAGCTTTGGCTTTTGGGGTTCACAAGCAACGACAGATCCATAAACTTCACCCCGGTCTCTCCTTCAGCAAAACATCAGCGCAAACGGGGCTCAGACACAGTCTCGTTCGGTGCCCCTGCCTCCTGAGCCCCTAAGTCCTGAAATCCGGGATCCTGTGCTGCAGAATTCAGTTGAAGACTCGCCACGTCGGTCTTGCGAGGCTACTTCGTCACTCTCGGATCACAGGGGGCGCTCCCTGTGCTTGCCGAGGAGACGCGATCTAAATCCTTCCGGCTTCTGTTGTGATGCTCAGATATGCGAATGCGGTGTTGGGGGGTGCCGTGTCTGCGGCCTATACGAATTTCACCGAAACTGGTTGAACCTAGACAGATTCAGAATTGACTGTCAACTGTGCATGCCCGGAGCACAGCTCCTGATAGCACGTGGCAATGCTTGCCTGCCTAATTTTACAGACGCTGCGGCTCTTCCATCGTAGCTTACCATGTCCCCTTGGAGTGGAGAGATGCCTCCACGGCCAGAACTATGTCTTGGCTTAGAGTTTCTAGTGTTTTGAGGTGTCAAGTTGGGTGCGGTGCCACGCAATCACCCAGAGAAGCAGCGAAAGAAGCACCGGAGTTCGCGAGAAGCCTAGGCCTGCTCATTGGCAGTCACTAGGTGTACCCTATCGTAATCCAGCGCTGCTACTCAATCGTCCCGTCAAACCCGTGAACTCGTCGAAGAAGTCTTCATGGGGGCTTTTGCGGCCTGAATACTTGGTGTAGGGTTTTGGGTATGTCTGTTCCAACCCTGACGCTCCGACCGTAGCGACAGGAGATGTACTGGCCTATCTTTCAGGCTTTGCAGAAGATCGGCCACCCGTTCGCCCCTCGGGTAGGCACGGGGGGGAAACAGAAGGGGAGCTGGCTCCGGGTTGTTGAAGCAAGCTTGTCTTTCAAGGCGCTCCGGTGGCTCGCAATGTGTTGCCTTGTCGGCCCTGCGTAATCCTTTGACTTGCCTTTCAGAATTACGTTCCGTTTCCAGTGCTGCGCAGTCTTACGGCTGCAGGGCGTGTCGTTGTGGTTGGGAATTCTGATATGTGGGAGATGGGAGCCTGCAGTACTCTTATGACACCGTGGTTCTGTCAGCGTTGGATGGCCGCCACATCATCCACAGTGCAACATACGTGCAACATCCGTGTGGAATAAGTGTAGCTGATTAACAACAGTGTGCGAAACGTGTAAGATGGTTGCATCATGCAGCTTGCCAGGCTCCCGCTTGGCATTTCCTAAACACAGTGCAACATTCTCACCCTCCCGCTCATGGATTATGCCAGTGTCTCGCGTGGTTTTCCCCTACGAAAGGGTGCAAAAACTTTGCATTGCTACATGGACGAGTGCAAAACACAGTGCACACAAGGGTCAATCTGGCATATTCATCCCCCTGCTGTTGAGTCTCCACGAACCAAGAACGCACCGAATCGGCACTTTCTTGTTGCGTTGTACATGTTTCCGTTGTATGTATCGATTTGCACCTTGATGACACTTAAGACACACATTGCACCCATGGCTGTGCAGGCCCTGTCAACATTTTCATTGCATGTTATGCTGTATTGACATGTTTGTGAAGCTACGTGCACCGTAGTGACGCAGGCCAAAGGTGCAGGAAACCCAGACCGAACAGAACCGGGAACTTCCACAGTACCCAACCCCCCCAGCGGCCTTCAGCCCGAAATCCAATCATGGCTGATGCCTTGGTTTCCTTCTCTGCGCGAGAAGATTTTGCAGCATAGCCTTCAATCTGACCTTGGCTCCTTACCTGGAAGTTCCCCTTGGACTTTCAGCGGAGCTGACATGAGCCGAAGGCTACTTGGATCTGGACGATGAGCCCAGCCAGGCCATCCCAAAAGGGTCAAAAGAGACTCGGACTCCGAAATTGCTGTGAAGTCTGTGCTGCTTGGCGCTGCTGTGCTCGAGAGTACATGGGAGTACCAGCAATAGCAACGGCAGTGATAGTGACGTTCAGCACGTCTCCGTGGTGATGACGACGACGATGATGATCATGTCTTTGAGCCTCAGGCACGACACTTCTGATCACGCTTGTAGTCTTTGAGGTCGAAGTCGCCATCTTTTTCGCCAAGTGCTACAGTAGCTCCGATACTCAACCTTCCGTTGAGAATGCCAACTTGCGAAAACACAGGGATGGTGATCCCCTGCCAGGTGTCTCCGGAGAACTTGCCTCTCGGTTAGGGCTTCATTTTAGAGGATGGGGGTCTTTAGCCGTCACCCGGGTTCACGGCTGTCGGGAATTGGTGCAGGGATTCAGGGTTCATGGTCCAACTTTTTCAGCTTCAGAGCTTCGGCGCTGTTGATGCTTAAAGTGTTGCGTGGGAGCTTGATTGTTTGTACAGTTCATGGGGTTTCGGGATCTCAACGCTATTTAGATCTTTCGAGATCTTTTGGGCTCTTTTGTCGGAAGTTTCGCCCAACAGGTCTTGTGCCTGCAGTGCTGAATGTTCTCAACGGTGCACAGCAGCTGATGCCCCACTGCAGGGCAAGAAGGCCTTAATCTGTTGACGAAGATATTCAGATGCTTCACATCGTGCTGTTTCGTGGTTTTGGCTAGGCTAAACAGTTGCTATTCTTGCTGTCTTCGGTCATTTGTTCTAATTTATCTTTACTATAGCTAGCAAAGCCTATAACCCCAAGCCTCTTGCCTAAATCTCAGTGATAGTCGAAACTCAGGGCATGGTCCGCCTCGATCAAGCTGAAAGATTGTGAAACCCTTTTGGGGACCTTCCGGCACGTGCCCGGAGAGCCGATGCCGATACCCTACAACTGAAACGCCCATGCAGTCGTCTTACGCAGCCCTTCACTTGTCCTGCACCTTAACTTCTAACCACAAACCTTGAATCCCACAGCAGAAGCCGTTTAGCCCAGGAGCTTGCTCTCGGCTATCGCAGAGGCCTCTCCTTTGTTGATCCTGACGCTCATTCATGATGCAATGGCCGTAGCGAATGACGATAGACGAAGCACCTTTACACGGTTGGTGCTTACAGCACGTATTGACAAAGAGAGAGGAAGACCTACAGCGAAAAGCTCAGATAGGACAGCACTCTAGTATTGTAGATTTCAGGTCATGCTCTTTTTAATGCTTCTTGGTATCGTCTTGTACTTACTGCCTCCGAAGCCTTCACTCTGTAGAGGCTAATGCCACTAGAAGGATATTTCGTCATTCTGACCGCGATCGTAGTGCACTGGCAAAGCTTGCATCTTTCTTCTCTTGCATGAAAGTATCAAAGTAGCTGCATGTAGCTGCTCTCACTGTAGTGTTCGCATGGCTCATATCTTTACGACTTTGATGGCGAGTTTGAACTTGTTGCTATTATGATTCCCGCCGCAACCGCCACCGCAATCCCCATGCTCATACTCATCCTGACATCAGTCACCGACATCTTAGTCATGACGATCAGCAACATCGTCACGAGTGTCATTGGCGTTTCGTCAGTGCTGTTCTCCTCTTGTACTGTGGCTCGAGCGAAAAGCGTCGGCGCGGAAATCTCCGTGGACGCTGGCACCTGGGCAGATGGAATCACTGGCATCCCGCAACCCCAAAGCCAACAACAATGGAAAACGTTAGCTGGATTCGCTATTGAAAGCTTGCGCAGCTGTGTTGGTGACCAGGTTAAGTCATTAAGTGTATTTACTACTCACTACTCTCTGGCTTGTCTTCCGCATCGCGACAGTCTAGTCTTGCAGCCGGTCGTGTGATCTGTCGGAATTTCGTTTCGCACCTACAGTCCTACAGTTTCCAGGCTTCGCTCATACCACGCATCGGAGTGTCCGTGCTTGTCCTGCTACGGGCCCTGAGCCCATAACCCTGAAAGCTAGAGACGCTGGCAGCATCAAAAGCGACAAGAGTAAAGGGTCTTGCAGTCCGGATGGCTTCCGATCTCTACCCCGGGCACAGCTTGCTGCATGCGCTGTTGCATCCACTGCCTGAATAGAGACACAGAATCAGGAAACGGATAAGCCGTGCATGCTTCACAGAACGAGCAGCCTGCAGCAAGAGTTGAGAGACGGATTGAACATCATGGGTAGCATTGCTGGCATTTACATCATGCAATTAGCTCAATGCCGGCGGCGTGCTTCACACATGCCCTGGACCTTAAACCTGACAAACTGCCGTACACCCTCAGCACAGAACCCTGATGCAGCCGAGGGGGGCTGCCATGTCCATCAGTTTGCGGCGTGCGTGGGCTCGCCTCGGACCCAGGATTGCAGGTCTGGTCAAGCTTGCAATCTGCTACTGCTACTGCTACTGCTACTGCTACTACTACTACTACTACTACTACTACTACTACCACCACCACCACCACCACCACCACTACACTACCAGTCACTACCACTGCAACTGCACCTGCGACCGCCACTGCTGCTGCTGCTGCTGCTCCCGGTCCCTACTGCGGCCGCTGTTGCCGCTACTGCTACTGCTGCTGCTGCTACTGCTTCTGGCGCTGCCGCTGCAATTGCCACTGCTACTCCAACTGCCACCGCCACTGCAGATGCCGCTGCTGCTGCTCTGCTACTGCTACTGCTGCTGCTGCTACTCTGCTGTTTTGATTCGCAACAGACCTTTTCGCGATCCTGTGTCCCTTCACCCCTGGACCCAAGAAGCAACTGCAAGAGAACAGCGATCCATCAATCCGATACTGAACCGTTTACTCAGCCCCAGACTTGCCTGAGCAGAGCTCCGAGCAAAGGCTTGCCGTGTGCGGTTTCTGCAAGCGGGCTTGCGCAGACAGTCGCACGCAGAGGCCGATTGCGATTCTCAGCACTCATCACCAAACTTCACTGAGGCCGTAAAGGAGCCTGATGCAACCAGGATGTGCAAGTTGTCCCATGAAGTCAGGCGGCATACTTCGCGGAACCTAGCTCTGAACTCGACTTGGAGTCTGAGGATACGGGTTCCTCACGCCGGGTTCTTTTCCACATTCTGCGCTGCAATAGAACCCCCTTATAGCTCCCTTTAGAGGCCGAAAAGGAAGCCCAAAGCCACTGCAGAGGCCTTGCGCTCGGAGCTCCATCTGCTTCGAGTAGCTCCTTCTCGAAGGCTGCAGTGCAGCAGAGGGTCATGTGCTGTGTTGGCGATCCCAAGCATGATTTCCCCTGTCATTCTAGTGAAAGTCTTGTATGACATTATGATTTCCATTCTTGTTATCAGCATGATGACTATCATGCCCTACCAGATAATCAGATATTGCACTATGACTTCCGTTATTGTTCTAGGTATGCGTACTAGTACTAAACTGCGCTACTCTATTTCAGGCGGCTTTTCTAGTGCATCGCTTGCCAGGGCCGGCTCCGTACCGGCCGGGGACCTCAGCGGAGCGCTTTTGTCTTGAATCTCCCTTCTTTCCTCACGTGATGAATGAACTGTGAAACAGCACCCCAACGGCCCGCACTTCTTGCTAGCTTCGTTTACAGATGGGTCTTGTTTTTGCCCATGATTGTGATGTTGCTGAAGAAGCAGAACGTGATGGTGCTGAGGCTAATGTTTGTCCCGCTGCGGCGACTGCTGCCTCAGAAGATGATGATGATGATGATGCTGATGATGATTCAATGATGATGATTGCAACAAAAACCTATGACCGTTTTGATGAGCATTGTGATTATGACTTTGCTCATGGTAGCTGCGATCGTGCTGCCGCTGTTGCCGCTGCTGCAGCTGCTGCCCCTGCTGCTACTTCAACTTGCTGCTGCTCCGCTCCTGCTCCTGCTCCTGCTACTGCTACTCCTACTCCTACTACTATATACTCCTCCTGCTGCTGCTACCACCTACCGGGCCTAATAATTAGATCCTACTACCTACTACCCTACTCCTCCTCCTTCTCCTACCCCTGCTCCTGCTCCTGACTTTGATGATGTCCGCGAGCGCAGCAGCGAGAGCCGCACGTAGCTGTTGCGCCGACCCCAAGCCATCCTCGCATCCTGGGAGCCTTAGGTCGGGAGGAGTTTCGGCCACGGTTTGGGCAGGTCCGCTTCTTCAGCAAGGCCGGTTCATCGGATAAGAGGGCTCCGAACTGCATAATGAGGGCCTGCGACATGTGGTGAAATTGTGGGTTTGTATGTGCATGTGCGCAAAGCGGAATCTGGAGTTTCACGCTTTGCAAGAAGAAGAACTTGGGTTCTTAAAGGTGGTGAGTGATGTACGTGTCTAAGCCTTTTGGGGCTTCTGCGCGAAGCCCAAAATCTGAAGGTCTTCCTGTCAGCGAGGTTGCAGAGCTTCTGAAACTGTTGTGTTTGAGGGTTCGGTTTTGGGGTCACGGGGTTTAGCAGTTTACCATCCAGGGGTGTCAGAGTTCAGCATTCAGCAGTGTCCGATTTCTGCCTCTCAGGTTATTTGTTTTGGGCGTTTTGGGATTTCCGGTTCGGTGTTGACATGTACAGTCTTGCATAGGCCCTACCTGACCTGGGTTTTGGCTCAAGTAAAATAGCTGCCCTGCGCGCTTTTGTGCTCCATAGGTTTTGTGCATGGTAGCGGAGCGCCTTTACGGTTCACTGGACCTGGGAAGTGTGCTGATCACGCTGCTCTGCGTGCTCCTGGGCTGGTCGGTTCACTCGGCTGTTTCGGCCGGGCGAAACCGGGCCCTCGAGCGAAGGAGAAGAGAGGCCGCCGAAGAGCGGTGGGCCAAGCTGGTGCGCAAAGCACGCGGCGTGAGAAAGCAGCAGCGATACTTTGCCTTTCTGGGCCACCTGCTGCAGGAGCACCCTCTGAGCCAGGCTTTTAGAAGGCGACTGGCCAGATGTCTGTGACGGCCGAGGCTGTTGCAGCAGAGCTGCAGGCTCTGAGGAACGAGCTGCTGGAAAGCAGGCGCAGGGAGGACGAGCTGAACAACCGGGTGCAGGCGTTGCAGACCGGTGGGCATGGGCTTCAGGAGGCGATGGCTGCACTGGCAGCCGTGCAAAGGGAGACCTTGGAGAGGGCCCGTGCCAGGGAAGAAAAGGTGACCCTTGTGGACAACAAGGGCTTGGCGAAGCCCGACAAGTTCGGGCGCCATGGAAGCGAAGGAAGCTTTCTACAATGGAAGGTGCGGCTGGAGACCTTCATCCTGAGTGTGCACAAGGACCTCGAGCAGCCGCTGGCGTACGCAGAGGACTGCGATGAGCAGCTTACGGCAACGAAGCTGAAGGCTTTGTTTGGCCCGACCACGCCGGCGGTGGAACACATACCGGGCCTCGAGGAGAAGGATGCACAACTGCACGCGGTGTTGCAGACGCTTTGTGAGGGCGAGGCCTTCACGCTGGTGAGGAGCGCCGGCCGGGGAGCCGGGCTTGAGGCGTGGAGGAAGCTCCACCGGCGGTACGATCCGAGTACCGGAGGGCGCCGGCGAGCGCTCTTGAGGTCGGTGCTTGCACCGCAAAAGTGCCAGCGCATCGAGGACCTCTCTTCTGCGATAGAGCTTTGGGAGGAGGCGGTGCGCCAGTTTGAGGCACGGCGGCGCCCAGATGGAACAAGGGCGCAGCTGGATGAAGATATAAAGGTGGCTGTGCTGGAAGCCATGTGCCCGAGCGACCTGGAGAAACACCTCCAGCTGTCGCGCCACCGGCTGACCACGTACGAGGAGGTCCGGGGCGAGTTGGCCAGCTACTTGGAGACGAGGCTTGGAGCAAAGGTGCAGCTGAGCCTGCCCGGTGCGTCGAAGGACGACCAAGGACCTGCCCCAATGGACGTCGGTGCCTTTGACAAGGGCAAGGGCAAGAAAGGAAAAGACAAAGGAAAAGGAAAAGGCGGAAAGGCAGCCGGGGGCAAGCAAAAGGAAACCCGCGAGTGCCACAACTGCGGGAAGGTGGGCCACTTGGCGGCGAACTGTTGGGCGCCAAAGAAAGAGAAGAAAGGGAAAGGCGAGCCGCACAAGAAGAAGGAAGGAAAAGGAAAGGACAAGAAGGGAAAAGGAAAAGGAG